TTCAATAAAGCGGCATATACCCAGTACTCTAGTTCTTTATTCTTAGTTTACTTTAAAATTAATTTTAATGTTAACTTACAAATAAATAAATAAATATTTTTTAATAGTAACTGTTCATGTTGAGTCTTTTTTGAGTTAGTGCATCTGGGCACTTTCACTCCTTGATAGCTGGGAGGTTTCTTCAGAGTTCCATGCCTCTCACTGCCTAATTTATGTATTCCTCAAAAGCTTTGTGCTTATTCGATGACTGATCTAAGATCTGCGTACCGCCCTGTGTGGCTAGTAATTATTCTAAGATTAGTTAGTGCTAAATAGACACTCTGTCGGTTTTCTCAGCTCAGCTTCAGGGCTTTGTCCCTTATGTATTTTTTGACCGGATCTATTATAAGGTGTCTCAGCATGTCATTTGGCGGCTGTACCTATGCACTTTGAAGAGTCTTCGGAGAGCTTGACTTTGAGCAATTTCCAGCTTCTGGATAGTAGAATTGGCAGCTTTGCTATATGCGACACACCCATAGAGTAGTACCGGTCTGATTATCTGGTCTGGTAGGTTAAATATATTACAAAAATATTAATTTAAATAGGTTGAAAGATAAAGCAATTGTTAAGTATATGATCTATGGATGGTGGACTATTACAAAATGATAATTAGATGGCTCATCGCCACTCAAAAGGAACTTATGCGAATGTTTTGTATGTCCCACACGAAATCAAATAAAAGTTTGACATTGTTGACGGATTGATAATTGTGGGTATATTGTTTTGAATCTACTGGCATTAAACGACTTGTAGCAATGAATGTATGTTGACCATTTCGTTGCTCATGCATCTTCATATGTTTGCTTATAATATTAAATATGTATTGAATATGTATGTTTGACTAAGCCCAAGAGAGAACGGATGGCAACAGTGATAGCTCGATATACTAGTTCAATTCTTTTGATTCCTTCGTGCCCGAAAACCCATATGATTTTAATTTTGTTAGGATAATGTATGAACCTATATGATTTTAATTTTGTAAGGATAATGTATGAAGTTATTTCTATAAGCTAATAGCGCTTCAGGTTTTTAACAGCTTCAATTATATACTGTTTATATAGATCAGAAATTCGATATTGTATCAAGTTTTATGGCCAGAGCCTCTGCACTCAAAATAGAAAGATGTGGTGAAATTAGTTTATAGTCGTGAGAAAAAAGACATTTTGATGTACAATCCCAAATGTGACAAGACTTTGGCATTAAATACTTGACACTATGAATTCGAATTTTAAACCTACAGATCTTTATGTTTATTCTAAGTATTTCCACTTGATCCTATATATATATCTACAATAGGAATTATATATATATTGATAACTAGTTTCGTTAAGGCTCAAGTATTTGTGAATGTAATATAAATAAAAGGTATTTGATTCTGTACCCGCAGATGGAAAACGCGGTAGAGGACGTCCGCATCTTCGGTGGAAGGACCAGGTGACCAACGATTTGGGGGCCCTCGGTACTACCAACTGGCGTCAAAAAGCAACTAATCGACATGACTGGCGGAGGCTACTCGACGCTGCCAAGGGCGACACACGTCTGTAATGGCCAACTAAGTAAGTAAGTAAGTAATATAAATAAATACTTATAAATGTTTATGTTCAAAGCCCTCGTAACTTAATATTCAAATCAAATAAATCAGATTAAACTACCAATTACTAGTGAAAATTCCCTTGAACAGATACTGTTATCAAAACTTTTCTTTTAATCATGCGTTGTTGCTAGTTACTAATTACTAATTAATATTTAATTTAACATATATGGAATAAACATAGTGAAATAATACATAACTTTTTTAATTTCCAAATAATTGTAATTAACAAAATTTTTAGTCAATAAAGAGCTTCTAAATGTCTTCAAATGAACAACGTTAAAATAGCTATTAGAAACACTAATATTGTGTAATACAGCAACGATCTGTCAGATTAAGAGTATTGTCTCGTTTAAAGAATATTGGGTACTAGCAATATCGCACATTTATGAGAGTTGTCCACTTATGAGAACATCTATTTAACAGAGATTTTACTGTGTTACCGTACTAATAAAATTTTTATATGTCTATAAATTAAGTAAAAACAATTTATTATAAAATTAAATATTTGAACAATATCTAAAAATTTATTTACATCCATACATTATACAAAAAGTGATTTGTAAAGTTCATCCTTTGATTCATCTGTCCACGTTGTGTCATCAATTGGCGCCATAAAACTTATTAGTTTATTATGCACCATATAACTGTAAAAATTAAACACATTAATTAGTTTTATTTAATAAATTTTAATATAATAAAACATACCGTAATTTCCTGCCCTTACTTGCTCGTGTGTCGACATTCTTTTTCATCTTCTGACGTAATTTCTGCAATTCCAACATTTGTTTCGTCACCTCCATCATGCTAGTGGACGTGTTTGCTTTATACTCAATTAGTTCGCGTAATTGCTGATGATAAAATTCGCTGTCATCATATATATTTGGATTGGGTGTCTCACTATCCTCATCATCCTCATTATTGTTTTCTGCTGTTTTTGTATTATTTTTCAGCAATTGCGATTTTTCAATAAGTGTACTACGATTCATTAAAGCATTATCTATTTTCTGTAATACATTAAACTCATCGTGAAGGGATTTCTTTTTACTGCCAGCACCGGGCGCTAATAACTTTGTACGATCATCCCATTTAAGTAAAACTTGATTGCGATATGTGTGAAATTCTTTAAAACGCTCCTGTAAATGTGTAGCAATTCGTTTTACTGGTGGCATTTCATTATTAACGAATGGTGATGGACGCTTTAGCGTGTGTTGCATATTACTTTTTAGTTCAGAAAATTGATTTGTAAGTGCACTTTGTAATGTCAGAAATGAATTCAATAGAACACCCAACTTTTGTGTGGTTTCGGTTCTAGTGTTTGTAAGTTCTACAGTACTGTCTTCGATGATGGGTAACTGATTTGCTTTTGTTAATAATTTCTGTGATTGTATACGTAACTCTAATAGTTTTTCCCAAATGCGTACTTGATTTTGTACACATAAACCTTTTTGCATTTCCTTTTGAATATTTTTTTCAGCAACCATTTCAGTGGTGTTATCAGCTTCTTCATCTTCATCACTGCTGTCATCTTCATCACTGTTATCATCTTCACTATCTGTGTTAGCTACTTCACCATCATAATCTTCTTCACTCTCATCAAAATCGCTTTGTTCATTTTCAGAAACTTCATCCATATCACTGCTCGCGTTACTTGCAGACTCCTCTGCTTCTTTTAAAGCGTCTTTGCTATCATTTGAGTGTTCGTATTCGTCGTCTTCACTATTAATGCTGGTTTCACTTTCTTCATCGCTACTAAAGTCTTTACGTGAAGCTAATTTTCCTCTATAACGTTCACTTTGTTGGGATAACAGCTTAATATTACGTTTCCTGAATTCAGTGGCTTTCGCATCAGGTAATTCATAATCTTCTTCAAAATCAACAACACGCGGTAATTCATTTATCTCGTCATCAGATTCGGCACTATCTTCAGCATTCGGTCTTACAATTAAATCAGTTATTTTATCTGATACAGTCTTTGATTTATATTTATTTTTCTGTGCCATTATGTTTTATTTTATATAAATACGTTGCTAAAACAAATTAATTTCCATTTACTATTTTGACATGTGCATTTGTTATTATTGCTTCAAAATGTCAAAAGAGCTGTCAAATCTACAAGTGGAACTTATTTTATTGAAATCCATTATTACAGTGGACTCTGCATAACTCGCTGCTGACATTTACTGCAATAAAAATATTTTATGTATAAACGGAATATAATTAATGAATTTTAAATTAACTATGCATACAATTTCAATCACTTGAGGTAATATAACATGTATATTTATATACATATATATATGTATATACATTTTTCAATAGCTGAAACGGTACGGTAATGTATTATATTTATCAACTTAATATTTATATATGAAATGTTTTACCTCTTTGTTTACGTTTATATGTTTTTGTTTGGATCATATTAAAAAATCGCATTGCCAACGACATTTTTCATTGAATACGTTCAACTTTAATTTTTCATATATTTCCTTATTTAAATTAAATATGAAGCAGCTCAATTTTTAATTCTAATAGATCTAGTTTCTATTGATCTATTAGCTGCGTTTCAGCAAACAATGATCTAGGTCTAAGTTAGAATTTCCATTAACGCATATTTTCCAACATCTTCAGGGGTATCTAAAATATTTTTTATTTAATAATTATGTTTTTTAATTTTTATAACACAATTTGAAAATAAATATATAATTTTAAGTTAGAATTTCCATTAGGCTACTCTGGTCTTATTACTAGGATGCAAATAAAATTCAATTTATTTCATTTTTTCACCCGACGTTTCGTTGGTTATTTTCCAACATCTTCAGGGGTATCTAAATATTTTTTATTTAATAATTATGTTTTTTAATTTTATAACACAATTTGATAAATAATTGATAAATATATTTATTTTCAAATTGTGTTATAAAAATTAAAAAACATAATTATTAAATAAAAAATATTTTAGATACCCCTGAAGATGTTGGAAAATAACCAACGAAACGTCGGGTGAAAAATGAAATAAATTGAATTTTATTTGCATCCTAGTAA